TTGCCTGGATTGCTAAGGATTCTACTGTTATCAGATTTCAAGTTTATCAGATGAATCATTAGCGGGATTCTGGTCCCTAGAGCTACTGGACCTCTCATACAATCTGATATCTCATCTACAATCTGATATTTTCAAGGAATAGATCATTTAAACACCTGAACAGAGAGTATATAGATATGTAGACCAAAAATATTTTAGTATTATTCATGTAAAAATCCTGGAATTAGAAGTATCTATGGTTGCGCCCAAATTTTTATCCCCAATTTTCCAAGAGACGGGGGGGGGGAGGACGCCGCTACCCCTGTTAGTAAAGTTGAAGTGACGATTAACTGATAAGCTTTTCAAGAGAGAAATCATTTATCTTAGATTCGGGTTAGAAACTTCTAACATTTTCTTCATTATATCGATCTTAGAGAAACTTCTAACCTTTTCTTCATTATACCGATCTTAGAGAAACTCCTAACCTTTTCTTTATTATACCGATCTTAGAGAAACTTCTAACCTTTTCTTTATTATATCGATCTAAGAGAAACCCATAGGCCATAACATTTTGTGCATTATATCGATCTTAAGAGAAACTTCTAACATTTTCTTCATTATATTGATCTTAGAGAAACCCATAACATTTTCTGCATTATATTGATCTTAGAGAAACTTCAACATTTTCTTCATTATATCGAACTTAGAGAAACTTCTAACATTTTCTTCATTATATCGATCTTAGAGAACGCATTTCAAACATTTTGTCTATTATATCGAACTTACAGAAACCCATAACATTTTCTTCATTATATCGAACTTAGAAAACGCTTTTCAAACATTTTCTTCATTATATCGAACTTAAAGAACGCATTTCGAACATTTTCTTCATTTTATCTAACTTAGAGAAAGCATTTGAACATGTTATTCGTAATTATACACAGAATGTTAGGGAGATAAAAAACGTGTAAGATACTCATAACATTCTGATTACAATTTCAAACAAAATTTTTGTGATTTGAAATGCTTTTGGATGTTCGATATGATGGACAAAATGTTAGTTTTATAGGTTGAATGATACAGACAAAATAAATTGTTGGAATAACATTAAATGCTAACAGTCCTTTTAATCATCTATTGGATACAGTCCTTTTAATCATCTATTGGATACAGTCCTTTTACTCATCTATTGGATACAGTCCTTTTAATCATCTATTGGATACAGGATACAAGTCAGCTAAATAAACTCTTCCTTCAGCATAACAGGATACAGAGGATACAGGACAAAACATTTACAGGTGAAAAGATATTGGGATACAATTTCAGATAGGATTCATGATACAAAAAATGAAGGATACAAGATACAAAAAAAAATTTTATGTGCAAAAGAAATAGAGAATATATCATGACACAAAATTAAATCATTTAAGCTCAAAATTGAAACTTATTTTTTTCGGTGGTCCCCATAAACCTGGGCAATCTTTTGTTTATTTGATGTTATAATAGTTTTTAATGATTTAACCAATATCCCTCTTAACATAAACCTTATTAAAGGGACTGTAAGCGTGTATTTAAGTGAC